CATAAAGGAAGGAAGAGGGGAAAAATGCAGAGCTATTTTCCCAGCATTTTCTATATGACAAGAGCAACGAGAGATATATATGTCACAAATATTGTGGTATTATGCAGAGTTAAAAGAACCTAGGATATGAAGAACATTCATTTCATACAGGATTGATAAATGTTTACAAATATGAAGCTTCAAAAAAACAGATTATTGAAAATTAATATTATGTTTTAAATTTTACCTTAAGTATGATAAGTTAGAACCTGCTGTTCTCCAGCTGTTGATCGACTACTATGGACTTTTAATTGCATATAGTGATAGAGATTGAGATAGATCTGAGTAATATTTGGAGAAACATTTTTGATCTAAACATATCTACAATCTTAAGTATTCCCTTCCTGGTTGAATTGTCTCAGTTGTATCTTGCAAATATTTATTTCCTATATTTATTTCTACAAATTATGTATTAGGTATTTTTTATCTTCTGCAGATGATGGTTAAAACTGAGTGGCAATCTCCACTGGGCCCCTGTCATTTCAGAAGTAATATTGTGGCACTAAAATTATTCCTTAACAAATGTAGGATAATATATGTATGTTTAGATTCTAGTGCAAACAGGTGCTACACACCAGTGCAAAATATTGCAATTGTGGGCTAATTTAAAACTCACACAACTCACAAACAAACAACTCAATTGTTTCTGTTGGTTTCTTGTGGGAACATCACCTTCTACCTGGCCTCTGACCTGTTCTCGCACCCCTAATTCCTCTTTTGGTTATGAAACCAAAAGAGTTTCAGCAGCCCTTCTTCACTCTTTTTCAAATAGGGAAAAATCATTCAACTGGTCAAGCTGGAAAGTATAAAACCTTGATTAGCTTCTAACTGGCTTAATGTATGCAATTGTCTTTTTTACCACTGTAGGCAATGCCCTTCCTAGTGGTTGTCTATGGAGATTTTCAGCCATCCAGGTCATAATTATCCCCAAAATTCTGAGGATTCTTCTTGTATGAGAAGTGAAACTTCTTTGAAAGAAAGTTCAATTGCCTTTTGAAAAAAGCACTTTTAGAACTTCCTAGTAGTTGTTTCTTCTAGGAACCCTATTTTCTCACTTTCTCCCCTCATGCCATTTTCTTACAGTCGTTTACAGCTCTAATATTGAACCTCACAACTAAACCCCTTTCTCAGCCTTAAACTCTGCAACAGCACTTACCCAGAGGCTGCACAAGGGAGCTGCTAAATGGCAGCCAAAACATATAAATGCCTCTTTGCTGCCATCTAGAAGTCACTAAACTCCAGAATGGGAGGGGAATGTGCCAAAGAGGATATTGTGGGATCAGAGAGATGTACAGGAAGTCCTCAGATTATGACCATAATACTTCTTGTGTAGAAGTGTCCTTACAGAAAAATATAGTTTTCCACAAAAACACCCAACAAGGGTCAATTGCATGTATCCCCTTTTAAGGATTAGTTTTTTTGGCCTATATGGACTACTACACAGTGGTGTCTAACTGTATCCAAAAGTAATCCAAGACAGTCACAGATAACAGTGTAGTTAAAAGCAAGGAAATGAGCAGGTGCCATGTGTCTTCTTATATTATATTCTGGGCAGCCCCACCTTTACCATTTATACCTAGAACTTACATTTCTTCTGTAGCATAAAACGGACGGTCCATCTTAAATCCATTTTGAATAAGCTTGTAGAACTTCTCATTAACTTGCATTCCGGGGTAAGGATTGATGCCTAAAAAAAAAAAAAGTGGCAAAACAAAGTAGTAATGTTTTAAATAAGCTTCATTGAAGAAGCTTTTTTAATTTGCATAACCTTGCAGAGACGTCTGCAGAGTGTGATCAGAAAAGCCAAAGTGGTAATCATGGCAGTCCAATTGAAGCTTCGCCTGCTTTTTATGTTTGTTGCATGTCATTTTTACTTTTTTGACCATTTCCTGCAAATATTCTGCAACCTGGACCGCATGACAGGGACTCACACAGAGCATATGTCTGCTGCTTAGATATTTAGAAAAAAATGACTATTCAATTATACATTTAAAGCAAAAGAAATGGAAAACCCCAAAGTGGTTAACAAAGATATGGTTCCAAGAACCTCTGGAGAACATTTATAACAATTGAATAAAGGATGAGAAGGAATGATTTTTCTTCTTCTTAAAAAGATGTCTCTATTAAAGTATTCCAGATGAATACACATCTTGAAGCTAAAAACTCACAT